CCCACCCCTATAAATCATAAGATTCTAACTCCTCAAAACAAAATTTTATAATTTTAGTGACATTTTAAAAAAATTAAAAGATAAAATATTTTTGAAAAACAACATTTCAAAAGTGGTATTTTTCATAAATTCTCTTTTTATAAAATACTTTTCTTTATGTAAAATACTTTCGTTTAGAAGTTTTTTTTTTTTTCTTGGGTCAAAAACTTTCTTTTAGTAGCCTACAAAGGAGTTTTTTTGGGTATTCTCTTGGTGACCTAGTTTTCTGATTTTCCCTTTTCCATGGCTCCGTCAAAGTCAAAACGTTCCTCGAAACGTTCGTTGTCGTCGCTGCCTACTGATTTACTAGAAGAAATACTTTACAGGATTCCAGTCGGATCATTGGTACGATCAGCCCCGGCACGATCAGCCTGGTTACGTTACAAATCGGTGTGTAAACAATGGTGCACTCTTTTAAACGGCAAGAAATTCATCTATAAACACTTGAATCTCTCTCAGGTACAACACTTCATACGAGTCGATGGTAAATCGATTCAACTCTTCAATCTTGAGACTCAAGWTCTCTCACGTCTACAAGGTCCATCTGATATTTCTACAATGATTCACTGTGACGGATTATTGCTATGTTCGTGTGTTGAAGAAAGAAGCGGAGGTGATTATATTGTATTTAGAAAGCAGCTTGTAGTTTGGAATCCGTTTTTGAGACGAGTTAAATGGATCGAACCCTCGCATTCTTACACAACAGTGTTTGATATCTACGGTTTTGGATACGACAATGTATCTCGTGACAACTACAAGATCTTGAGGTTTGGTTATGTAGATAAATCATATGTTGAGATATATGAGTTTAAGTCTAAACTATGGAGGAGTGTTGATGCTAATTTTGAATGTTGTGGTGCAAAGATTTGGCGTGCGCAGTGCCACGCTGTGTCTGTGAATGGAAACACGTATTGGATTGCTTATAGGAACAAGGATATCAAATTCTTCATCCAAAGTTTGATTTCTCCACAGAGACATTCAAGCACATATGTTGCCTTCCCTTCGAATATGATTGGCTGGGTATGATTAATTTACATACAGTAGTCTTGTCAGGTTTCGAAGGAGATAGGCTTTCTTTATTACATGTACACCAAGAAAAAGATGTGAAGATGTTTGATGTGTGGGTTACAAACAATGTGACTGATATGGTTGTCTTGTGGAGCAAGTATATTAATGTGACTAGTCCTGATATCCCGATATTCTATTCTAGTTAATTACGATCGCAGTTTTTTGACATATTTCATTCATAAGACCAACAATATCATGTTATGGTGCGATATCGTTAAAGCAGATGGTAGATATAAGAGACGTAATCACTCCAATGTTTACGAAATGGGTGAGGGTGAGATCAAGAAACAAGTTATGGGAGGACGTCTGTATGGTAGCCGTCTCCACCATTGCTATGTAAATTATGTATGTTCCAAGTCTGGTTCCGGTTCCAGAATAAGAAGACGAGGGTACGCAGTAAAGATATTTGAGAGGTTTGCTTTTGCTAGTTTTTCATGCATGTTTTTAAGCTTTTGTTCTTCTTCTATCAGATATACTATGCATTTCTATTAATATCGATGTTCCCATTTGAACAATTAGACTTTCACAAAGCTATATAGACTACGTACAAAAGTAGTTGATGAGTTTTTTCTAGTTATACGGTGAATTAATCACAGCGATGGTTTTAAAAAGGATGTATAACGATTCAAAACACTGTAAAATCGTTAAAACTGAAAGAAAAAAATATGAGAAATATTGGAATAAGCAAGAAACTTTTTAGATAAATTGAAAACTAGCTCGCGTGTAAATTCTTTGATTTTGCTAGTTTTCATGCATGTTCAAAGCTTTTGTTCTTCTTCTATCAGATATGCTACGTAGCATTTCTATTTATATATCGATGTTCCCATATTTAAACAGCTAGACTTTTACAGAGCATATATATATCGACTACAAAAACAGTTAATGATGAGTTTATTCTAGTTATACGGTGAATTAATCATAGTGATGGTTTTAAAAAAGAAATATAGCTATGATTCAAAACATAGTAAAATCGTTAAACTGAAAAAGAAAATGTGGATTATTAGAATAAGCAAGAAAGTTCTTTTAATGAATTGAAAACTCGAGTGTAAATTATTTTGTTTGGCTATTAAATCTTGAGGAATTTGCAGATGAGCTCGAGTTTTATTATTTTTCGTGGAGGTGGTTTACCAATCCCATGTTCTTGTAAAGTCTTGTGGTCTCACTTTAGGTAATAACTTTATGTTCAAGTGTCTTACGCAACCAAGTTCTTTGCTTAGATTAGATATAGCTTTAAATTTTACATATGGTGAGTACTGTTTGAATCTCTTTCGATAGGAAGTTGCTTGGAGATCTCGAAAACAATGTTATAGCTTTCTGATAAATCGATCTATCAGCGTAACATCAAGCATGAATGAAACTTGCAGAGTAATTGACTAATTGTGAATATGGAAAAGTTTAGTGCCTCTTTTGTTTAGAAGACTTGTCCAACTTCATCCGTGTACGTTATAGTTGAGCTAGCAAGAAAAACAAAATTAAAGATTTTGCTTTTCATTCACAATTTATATATAAAACGAAAAATCTTTAACTTTTTGCTGAAAAACTAAATGACGTCGTTTCAGATAACTGTGCTATTAAACGGCTAATTAACACCGTTTATTATTTCTGTTAAAAATTTATGATTTAAATTGAAAGTCAACAAAAAATTCATGTTTTAAATTGTTCATGAATTAGTGCTTTAATTAGTCGAAATTTGAAAATTGGAGATTTAAATGACCATTTTTCTAATTAAATCCAGCGTTAAAAAGTATAAAAACGATATGTTTTATTTTCTATTTAAAAAATACCTTTTTGAGTAGCCTACAAAAAGAGTTTTTTTGGTATTCTCTTGGTGACCTAGTTTTGTGATTTTTTTTTTTCTATCGCTCCGTCAAAGTCAATGGGTTCCTTGAAGCGTTCATCATCGTCGTCTTTGCCTATTGAGTTAGTAGAAGAGATATTTTACAAGACTCCGGTGGCATCTTTGGTACGATTCAAACCGCTTTGCAAACAATGGTACGCTCTTTTAACCGACCAGAGATTCATCTACAAACACTTGAATCTCTCCCATGAACAACACTTCATACGAGTCGATGATAAATCGATTCAACTCTTCAATCTCGAGACTCAAGCTCATCTGATATTTCTACAACGATTCACTGCAACGGATTATTGTTATGTCAATGTATTGAAAGACAAATAAGAAAGCTGGCAGTTTGGAACCCGTTTTTGAGCCGAGTCAAATGGATCGAACCCTCGCATTCTTACTTAAAGTATGATGTCTACGGTTTTGGATACGACAGTGTATGCCGTGACACTGACAACTACAAGATCTTGAGGTTTGATAAAGGAGACAAATATGTTGAGATATATGAGTTCAAGTCTAAACTCTGGAGAAGTGTTGAATATGCTAGTCTTGATTGTTGTGGTGTAAAACTTGGGCGTGGACGGTGCCACGTGAATGGAAACATGTATTGGATTGCTTATAGGAAGGGAGATAACTCCCATATCGAATTCGCCATCCAAAGTTTTGATTTCTCCACAGAGAAATTCAAACACATGTGTTGCATTCCCTTTGGACGTTATAATTGGTTGGGTTTGAAATATGTACCCGCAGTAGACTTGTCAGGTTTCGGAGGAGATAGGCTTTCTCTATCACATCGAAGAAAAGACGATGTGAAGATGTTTGATGTGTGGGTTACAAACAGAGTGACTGATAGGATTGTCTTGTTGAGCAAGTATATTAATGTGAATTGCCCTTATCTCCCAATCTTACGCTCTAGTCACAATCACCGTTTTTTTACATATTTCATCCACAAGACCAATAATATCATGGTATGGAGCGAATTAGATTTTGAAAAGAAATCTGTTTACCCCAATGTTTACGAAATGGGTGAGGGTAAGATCAAGAAACAAGTTGAGACAGGACCAAGTAAACGGTCTGGTAGCCTTCTCCACTATGTGATGAACTATGTTCCAAGTCTGGTTCCGGTTCCAGAATAAGAACTTTTGCGAGGTTTGCTTTAGCTAGTTTTCATGCATGTTTTAAGTTTTTGTTCTTCTTCTATCAGATATATGCTAAGCATGTTCTGTTTATATAGATGTTCCCATTTATACAATTAGACTTTTACAAAGCATATGGTTACACACTATATATATACAAAAAGTAGTTGATGTGTTTTTCTTGTTATTATTATGCGGTAAATCATAGTGATGATTCAAAAGAAAAGAAATATAACTATGATTCATAATCGTTAAAACTTTAGGGAAAAAAATATGCGAAACTTTGGAATAAGCAAGAAAGTTTTTTTAATGAACTGAAAACTCGTGTGTAAATTATTTTGTTCTACCTATTAAATCTTGAGGAATTTGCAGATGAGCTCGAGTTTGATTTTATCGTTTTTCTTGGTGTCGCTGTAAAATTTACTTGACTTTTGTTAATGATATATAAGAGATTCATCCACAAACACTTTGATCTCTCTCAAGAATAACGGTTTATACGAGTGGATCATAAATCGTTGCAACCCTACAATCTTGAGACTCAAGCTATCTCATGTCTACAAGGTCCATCTGATATTTTTTCCAATGATTAGTAATGTTTCTATGTTCCTTTACTTGAGGCGGTTAAGAACATATATGGAAGGAAGTGTTTCCGAATTCCGATAATCGAATTCGGAGTCATATTCATATACACATACCACATTTATTTTTCTGGAATATTCTTTTTTCATTGTCTACATTTTTTTTTTGGGAGTAATTCGATTATATAAGGCACCGTTGACATTAATTAATAGCAACATATGTTAACAAACAGAAAGAACCCAAAACTTTTTATGGAAAACCAATGAATTTGATGAGATTCAACAGTCAAAATCTAGTATTCAAGTTAAATATGTATCTTTTGAGTCATATCCTGCTGATCCGAAAAAATGGAATTTCAAAAGAAGTAGATTAATTTTAGGGTTACAAATAAACTTTAAAAAAAAAAAAAAAAGTCCCTAACATTTGGGTCTTTTAGTTGCATATACAGGATGGCGACACAAAGGACAAATGCTTTTCCAACGCCAAAGACAAGTTTTATGAAAAACATGAAAACAATCTTGTAACTCTATAGCTTCTTCGTCGCGTATATGATCTTCAAGGCATATACTACATTCGTGTACCGAATTCATCGATTTCGATTTCGGGGGATACAAGAAGTTGTCCATCCTTTACTCTCTTCCATCAAGTGCAATTCAACATCTTCCGCATTAGCTGTGAGCTCGAAAGCTCTTCCTTTGCTTTCTCCATTGAGTTGAATAGCATACAAAACCAGAATTTCTCTAATCCTTTGCTCAACACGCTTCAAAGCTTGAGACACTTGTCCAAGGCATCGCTCTAGTGATCCGGAAGCTAGAAATTCTGAAGGGATTTCGAATGTGAGTTGTTGAAGTGGAGGATCCAGTGATGTTTGTCCGAAAAGCCGTTCATTTCCGGTGATCGGACGGTAGATATCTCGTCGGAAACTCTTTAGTGTTACGATTAAACGGCTTGAGGAATGGTTGCGCGGTGAGAAACTGACCGGGTAGAAAAATACTCGCCGGTTGTTCTGCATGACTTATTTCCCACGCAACGATTGATTTCTTCTAGTTTACAAAGTTAGGTCAGGCCAGAGCTATTTATAGGATTTGGATACAAAATCCTATTTCCCTTGGTAGTTCCTAGCGTGCAATCTAAGCTACAGCATAATTTCCTTTGTAGATCCTAGCGTGGAATCTAAGCAACAAGAGATTATTTATTTCTTTAGTTTATATTTTGAAATAATCAACTTTATCTGAACATGAGCTTAATTGTTAGTGTTGATAATCTCATGGTTACTGTATCAGGTTAGTGAAACAGAGTTTCAAGTGTAAACTCTAATCGAAGAAAACGTACACTTGAGTAAAAAATTGACAAGAAAAATTTGGAACCGGACCAAAATCCTCTCCTCTTTCTACTTCCCTCCAAAGAACATAATAATCCTTTGAATCCATCAAAAGTCACTCTCTAAAATTTTCACAGTTTTGAATTCCAAAAACCACTCAAGTTTTAGGAAATTAAAAATTAAAAAAGGATTCCAACAAGACAGTGGGAGCTACGATTAAGAAATCATCAAATGAGGCATTAAGACGGTGTTGAGAAGGTCATGAAAACCCCACTTTTTGCTCGGTCGTGTTCTTGTTTCTTCAGTATGTGGCAGTAGTTAAGCTGGTATAAGAAAATAAACATAACAAAAGAACAATCAAAAATCGTTTTTATGATTCTTGATGAATGAAGAAGAGAGAAAAAGCAAGAGAACAAACTAACTAACCTCCATGCGAAATAGACTAGTTGGTATCACGATTCCTGCACCTACTGAGCTTCTGAATGTCTCCAACAACTTTGGAACAGCGAAATTCCGATATTTGTTCTCTGATAATTCCGCCATATTCCCGGCACATGCAAAGGCATGCCCGTGGATTCCTCTGTCTCTGAACCATTTCAAAGGGAAATCAAAAGAAAGGTCTGCAAATGCAGTGACTGCAACATCCCCTCCCACAAAATCCCGTTCATATGTGCCATAGCTCTGATCGTCTTGTACTTCCCTCCTTGGCTCGTTAGGACCCATTCCCCTGCTCTTGAATCCCCATAACGCAGATGGTCCTCCCAAAGAACACACAGGTGATATGTTTCCACCTAAGAAGAACCTCTCGGGCACAGAAGAAGCTCTGCTCTTGTATCCGCTTCCCCATGGAAATGTGATTCCTCCAGCTACACCAAAGTTCAGAGCAGCACGATAAAACCCAAGTGGAACAGCATATCGGAGATCGATTTCCTGACAAGAGGTAAAAAACACAGATGATATCAAAGAGGGCTAACCAGTCTTTTCATTTACTGTCACAACAAGCAAAAAGTTCCAGAGCACTTGCGGAGTTAAAGAGGAATGGTTCAAAAGCCTATATAATGAACTAGGTGCCATGGAGTTCTCTGAGTAAAATATCTGTGCTACAACTTTCCACAGTGCAATATTGGAAACAAGAATGAAGAATCTCAAACCTGGCGCAAAAATCGAAGTGTACGACTATCAGGTGCAAGGCCACCTATTTGAGACGTAGAGATGAAAGAATATCCTCGTGTTGGCCTCAAGGACGAGTTTCTCTGGTCATATTTGAAGGTGTACTTCAGATTCGAGACCAAATTATGCCCAATCTGTCTCCTTATGGTTTTTGACGCCATTTGCGATGGGTCTATCAGGTTACGCCAAGCAATATTGTAGGACAAATCATGATACTTGCTTGATAGAAGCCCGAGGGAAAGACCAAGATCATGTTCTTTGTAAGACGAATACTTAAGCCAATCTTGAGTAGAAAGGTAAACTCGGGAAGTAAACGGAGTAGGACGACCTCTAAACCTTGGCAAATACATCCCCAAGCCAACCTCTGCAGCATTGTCACAGCCATAAGCAAGAGACCCGTCCCAAATATCTCCATATCCAAAAAGATTCTTGTACTTCAAAGAGCCTTCAAGGCTTGATGATCTAGCCTACAAAAATGTAATCAACAACATCCTCATGAGCAACAAAATCCAATTCTATTCACCAATCAATGGACCAAGACACAATAATCATAATTTACCTCTGATTTAGTGAAGGTTCCGAGTTGGGCAGTGAGAAGGTTTTTGGTTTCGACAACATCGATGACGACATTAGTGGTGCCAGGAAGCTCGGGAGGACCAGAATCAAGCGTAATGTTGATAGAATCAAAGATATCAAGGGCTCGAAGATTGTAATTAGCAACCTGAGAGGCTTCGAGAAGCTCCTGCAACGTAGTCGCTTGCCTCACAACATCTACTTCAGCCTCGATGACATGGTCCTTCGTCTTCTCGTTTCCCTTGACGATCACGTCGTGAACACGCACCGGAACCGGAGCCGTTCGCATACGACGGAACAGAGACTCCACCCTGATCCTATCCGTGATTCCACCCTCTCGCGTTTTAGGTTTCGACG